ATACCCACCCCCTCCAAGGAGATGAACAACAGAAACCGTGGGGGAAGGGAGACCGGTCAGTGTAAGATATGAAAATATGAATAATTTATAATTTATCAAGGGAGCACAGGGTGGAGATGGGGGGTGGGAAGGAGCTGATACTAAGGCCTCATTAGAAAGGAAATGTTTATAAAATAACAATGGCAACATATGTACAAAAATGCTTCATACTATTGATGTATGAATTGTTGTAAGAGTCCCCAATAAAATGATCTTTTAATAAAAATAAATGTTAACAAAAAAGATTTACAGTCTGGGAAATCCTAAGGAGCTGTTCTGGTTTACAGGGTCACTGTCACAATCAACTTGATTGCAGCGGGTTTGGTTGGGTAGTGCAAGAAAAACTTAAATCCTACTCAGTAATTTAAAAGCTGCACATACAGCCAGTGCTGGTGGTTGTGATGAAGAATTTAGTGGGCATGTTCAATTATTTCAGTTATAAAGTGAGGACAGATTTATATAACAGTTGAACAGAGTTCCAAAGATGGTGGTGCCCTTCTCAAAAACAGTAGCTGACGTTGCCACTGTGCAGTTCTGCTAGTAATCCCATCTCTGCAAAGGGCTCACCATGCCTCTTCTAAGCCTCCCCTTCCAGGACGTATTTTTCCTGTTCCACTTACCATGGCAAATTCTACAAATTATATACGCATCCCATTCTTTGCCTGGTTTGCTTCACTGGCCATGAGAGAAGTGGTTTGAAGCCTTGCTTTAAAGGGTAGATATGAGTCAGACATTCATAACCCAGGGACTATTTGTGCTATGGTTCCTTACTCAATGTTGCAGTATGGTAGTGTGGAGAGAATCCAAATGGTGGATCACAGCTAACACTATTCTGATAATCAACCATTGACTGAGAAACTTAAGTGAAATGGATACAAAAGATAGCCCTCGGACCCGGAACTTCAAAGAAAGCTAAAGAAGTAGATCATTCTTTATAGCCTTTCCTCTCCCACCCCCACCCCTACACGCTTGTGTTTTGTTTACATCTTTTCTCTCCCTCTTCCCTTACCCACTGTCCATTGGTTTTACGTTTGGAGCTGGCACGCCTCATTTCTGGTGCCCACACAGATAGCAACACTTGCCCCACCTCTTCCTAATCAAAAGTGCATTTTCACATGTTTGGGAGCTAGTACTTTCACCCAGATTGTGCTTTTTATTTTAAAATTTTGTTTTTGCTTTTTCTTCTTAGTTGTTCCTCCCCCTCTCCATTCTTTTTTTAATCTTTGTTTTTTTATCCCTTTCCCCCTGTACCTGCTTTTTGTTTTGGTTTGATCCCACAGAGCCCATCCCCACTCCTCACCCAGGCTGTTGTCTTTGCTTCCCAGAGTCAGCTGCATGTTCCCACTGCATCTGTGTTTGATAGTTAACACTTGTACCATTTTTGTTTGTTTGTTTGCTTGTTTTCCTTCCCAACTCTAACCACCATTTTGCTTTCTCTTTTCACCTCTTCTTTCTCATCGTCCTTTATTCCCCCTATCTTTCCCTATCAGTTAAGAGCCAATGACTCTACCCAGCCATATACACAAAACCTGCTGCCCACCCAATGGGCAAGTGCTGTCATCTCCAGTTCTACTAGAGTGATGACAGATGGCAGCCAGCCCCTACCCAGCCTTCCCTTAACTGCTCAACATAATCAGTGTCCAAAACATATGCCTTTACTCCCACCCGTTACTAAACCCACTTATCCAAGATGAGCCCCCCAGTAATGATGCCAAATGAGCAACCAGAGTAAAACGTCCACTTTTTTGCCTGACTATATTAAAACAAAAATCAGGATGAAGCAAACCAATATGCAATCAACAAATTAATACCCAAACAAGATGACAACTTCAGTTTACACATACACACAAAGAAACAGGGCAGAATAGCTGAAACAAGTGAGCAAAATACAGAGCCACAAAACCTTCCAGATAGGAAATGGCATTGGATATTTATTTGCCTTCAGTTGATTAAAAGTTTGAGAAAAATCACAGACAAAAGTCTAGAAGAATTAAAAAGGAAAATACATGAGATGATAGATCAGCAGTTCTCAACCTATGGGTCGCGACCCCTTTGGGAGTCAAACGACCATTTCACAATATATAATTACATATTGTTTTGTGATTAATCACTATGCTTTAATTATGTTCAGTTTATAACAATGAAAATACATCCTGCATATCTGATATTTACATTATGATTCATAACTAGCAAAATTACAGTTATGAGGGTGCGCTGAAAATAATTTTATGGTTGGGGGTTCACCACAACATGAGGAACTGTATTAAAGGGTTGAGGCATTAGGAAGGTGAGAACCACTGTTAATAGACAAAACTCTTGATGCTCTTGTATCAGAAAGGTGAAGCTGGAAACAGAAAGATCAGCCAGTGGGTATAGAGACATGTCTATCCATGGTCAGTGAAAACATGGCAGGGTGCCAACAGCTCTCTAGGTTGGCAGCCTACATAGGGCATCTCAGCAAGTAGGAAGTTGAAAGGCAAGAGGAAGTAGTAGTTCCTGGTGTGTCTTATTAAAATGCCACGTGCTTATGGCGGCATCATCAGCCTATGACCTGAATGATAAGTTGGATTCCACTCCTGCAATTTCACAAACATGCAAGTTGACATAAAGTCTAACTACTACAACTACTTTGTTGAAAGCTATGGTGGATAAGTGTGTAATTGTTTGGGCTGCTAAGAGATTAAAGGCAAAATACTTAGTATAAATCTCTTGGAAGACCTGGTTAGGTACAATGGGTTAAGGCTTGAGCTGCTAACCACAGGATCATTAGTTTGAATTCACCAGCTCTTTGGGGGAGAAAGATACTTAGTATAAATCTCTTGGAAGACCTGGTTAGGTACAATGGGTTAAGGCTTGAGCTGCTAACCACAGGATCATTAGTTTGAATTCACCAGCCCTTTGGGGGAGAAAGATAAGGCTCTGTGATCCCATAAGATTTAGTCTTGGAAACCTTCAAGAGCAGTTCTACCCTATCCTATAGCGGCATTAAGAATTGGAGCCTATTAGAGAAACAATCAAAGAAAAGAACACAAGAAAAAGAAGAAAAAGCCGAAGAATTATGTGGAACACAGGAAGAGCCCAGAAAAGGCACTAAAAAAATTGTTGAGGATTTATTGAATGAAAACTTTCCTAATTGCGTGAAAGACAAGAAGACATGTATTCAAGAACCTCAACTAACTCCAAATAAGATACACTCCAGTCAAAACCAACAAGACATAAACTCTCCCAAACTAAGAACAGAGAAAGACTCCTAAAAGTAAGAGGAGGTAAATGAAACATTACCTAGAAAGTGAACCAGTAAGACTAAGCTCTGATTTCTCAGCAGAAACCAGGTAGGCAGGAAGACAATGGGGCAATTAAAATGAGAATAAAACCTTGCAAGAAAAGCCTTTTACCATTTAAGAATTATGTATGCAGTAAAATTGTCTCTCAAATACAATGGTTGTTAGTACATTTTCAGATAAACAGAAATTAAAGCCTGAATATAGGGAACTAGCATTATTAATTTGTAAATGATTATAAGTACAAAGCAAAAAGAGGGAATAAATGATATAGATACACAACTTCCAAATGGAAAGGAAGTCAACACAATATCAAAAAAGAATAGACTATTTTAAACTTAAGAAGATAATAATAAATTACAGGATAACCACAAAGAAAATTAATAGACCTCGCCAAATTAACAAAGAAGAAAAACAAAGTCTCAGTATACCTTAGGACAAAAGCTACAAAGAAATGGTAACAAAATCCAGAAACCAAAAAAAAAATTCAGAATAGAAAAGCGTAAGAAACAAAGAAACCATCAGCACCATCACACCCAAACTAAACTCACGGCAAAATGACAGCAGTAACATTTTACCTCCTGATAATTACACCGAATGTAGATGCATTAAATGCGCTTAACCAGAAACAATAATAACGGATGTTCAGGAGACACGTTTTCAACTGGTAACCATAAGAGAGCAGGAGTTATTTTCAGATTAATTTTAGATAAAATAGACTATCAGTCAAAAACCAACAAAAGATAAAAGGAATGACTTAATATAATGACTAAAGAATCAACCCAATAAGACTGCATTTATGTGTATCAAGAGTCTTCACCAAAGAAAATGAAACCTACAGGCTCAGGAAAAAAAATTGGTGATAACGTTAGGCAACCAGCTAACCTCTGAGATTTGTAGACGACTTTATCACTTCAATAACATAAATACAGATAGTCCAACTACACAATGGGCAGATGTCATAAAGACACTGCACTAAAGACATTCAGGCAGCTAGCAAACTGGTGAAGAGATGTTAGTGACTTAGCCTTGAGAGAAATGTAAATCAGAACAACAATGAGTTACCCCACTATTAAGAACAAAACTCAAAACAACAAATTGTGCTTATTTCTAATTCATATTTCTAGGCCCTATGGTCTGAGCTACGTAGGGTCAGGACTCCCCACTACATCTAGGACATGATATACATACGGCTAGTAGGAGAAATTTAGTGATGGCTCTAAAGAACCCCAGAGAAAAAGTTTTTTCAGTTTTCACCGTATAACAAGGTGGTCATGGGAAAATGTTATCTGAAGAATGTTAAGACACCCTGGATGTGAAAGCATTGTCCTTGTTAATCCACAAAATAAAAACTTATTATTATAAATGAAATTTATTTAATTGTATCTACTAGCCCACTTTTGACTGGACAAATTTTGGAGCGAATTGCCACCGAGTTTAATCAGTTACAGTTTCATGCTGTTCAAAGCAAAGGCATGCCTCTTTTGGACAAAGTAAGACCAGTGAGTATTATTTTGGATTTTCAGTTTGGTGTTTAGAAATTTGATAATTTCGGTTTAACTTAGTACTACCCCTGATATTAATTGTCGATCTGTAGGATTTTAAAGCTACGCTTGAGTTTTTTCATTACAGTCTTTGTTTTTTCTCCTGTGTTAGAGATTTTTGTAGAGACTCAGTTATATTCTCTAAGTCAGCTGTGGAGGACCTTCTGCTAAAGGCCATTTAGGTATTTATAACATCCTTTGTGGGCCTACCAAATTATGAACTTAAGAACTAGCCTGTTTTATTTGATCATATTTAACTCCTTCCTAATGTGATTGCTGGAATTGCTTCTTTGGTGAGGTGTATGATGTTAGCTGTTATTGATGATTTTGCAGGCCTTATATGACCCACAGGCCGAATGTTCTCCACTCCTGGTCTAAATTATAAGAGGAAAATTAATTATGAGTTCCCTATAACTTAACACATCCTAAAAGTGGCACCATCAGGTTTTTATACTGCTAATTACAAAGTCAGTATTTCAAACCCAACAGTCTGCTCAATGGGAGAAAGTTGTGGCTCACTGTTCCATTAAAAGTTTACAACCTTGAAAATCCTATAAAATCTCCTATTTAGCAAATTCAGCCAAGAATTTATTAGCTTTGTCTTCATGTGCACTTCCTCGTTCCTATACCTTACTACACTGTGCATGCCTGGTCTCTTGGTGAGTGTTTCAAACCAGCCCTGAGTAGCTTTGAGCACTTTAGGGTGCTCAGCTCTCGTTCCCGCAGCATTTTTTATAAAATCACTATGGAAGCTTTTAACCTTCGTGCATATCACTGCCTTGAATACACTATTGTCATCTTGTTTATGATTTATCCAAATTAACAGTAGCTTTTAAACTCCAGTGGTCTGGGTTCTTTATTTCATGATTAGCATTTTCACATCTTTTGCTCCATTAGGTGCTTTGATCACCTTTCCCCCCCCCAAAAAATGTTGATAATGTCGACTTTGCTGTGTTGTATTCATTCAACCACCAAATCAGACACAGGGTGACCTGTTTCAAATTTTGTTATGATCTCTTTCTTTCACTCTGTAGTACTTCTCACAGTTTTCCTTTGAATTTTACTGCTGGAATCACTAACTTTCTTTGGAGCCATAGTTATGATATTTTATACAAATAAAGCCCCAGAAAAGCACAATGATAGATGCTTTAACGCACTAAATTAAGTACTATAGGTTGTCTGAGTGGGAACGGTACTTAGACCGAAGTGTCACCCCTTTGTGTGACACGTGACTCACTCTGGGCCCCTTCAGGTTTTCTTCAAGTTGGATTTTCGGTTTTACTGTCAAGCAAAGTTGTGAATACCCGGCAGGTTTTACAGAGCTTTGCTGTTTGCACAGTGGGTAGTTCAAGCTTGGAGCTGTTCAACAACCAAGGTATCCCTGTGGGTGGCTGCTCTGAGTCAAAATCATTTCAACTACTGTTTTTAGTGTTGGGTTTGCATTTTGACACGTACAGCAGATTTTGTGTATCTGAAACATTTACCTGAGCTTTCCATGAAGTGCATCAAACTTTCTTTGGAGGAAAATAGTACTTTTTCTCTTTCAGTAATTCCATTGAAATACTTTTCTAGTAAATGGAGAGTTGTCATTATAGAGATTGGTTACTCTCTAGAATTGTTGATGTTTTAATTTCACATAGATTAATATCTACTAAGGTAGGAGGCTTGTTATGTACATATTTGAATTTTTTCCAACTAGGTTGTTTGTTTTTTAAACTATCCATCTTTCTTGCAGCGTATAGCTGGCATTACAGCCATGTTACAACAGTCCCTGGAAGGTCTCCTATTAGAAGGCCTGCAGACTTCCAATGTTGATATAGTACGGCACTGCTTGCGAACTTACGCAACAATTGACAAGACACGTGATGCAGAGGCATTAGTTGGTCAAGTACTAGTGAAGCCACATATAGATGAGGTATGTGCACCTCAAAGCCTAATTCAGCAAATGTTCATAGAGCATATGCTATGTGTCAAGACACTTAAGTGGATGTGAAAATATAAAGAAATATATCGTAGAAATCTTTCTTTTAAAATAGCCACAGTAATTATCAGGTAATAAAGAGTTGGCTCCTTTTTGGTTACATTCAGCAAACTGAGCATTAGGCATACCGTCAAGTAAATCCTAGCTCTAACAGGCATTATCACAATTTATTGAGGTGAGTGTTGCCTCCAAAGAATGTATGCAGCCCCTAATAAAATGATTTAAAAAAAAAAAAGAATGTATGCAACAAGGTTTTTGAATTTTATAAACTGTATATAAATTACATTTCAGTAAAGTTCTTTTTAGAAGCTTTAGATTGTTCCATCTAGTGAGCAGATTAAAATAGTCAAGCGAGTGGTAAGACAGCACTATGTAAGTGCCTCTTTGGAAGCAGAAAGAACTCTGTGACCATAGAGGGTATGAGGAAGGATAGCAGTGGTTTACGAGAAGACACAATGATACTAGGCTCAAGCCTTGAAAAATGAGGAGTTTGCCAGACCACAGGGAGGGGTGGGAGGCATGGGGGGTTCAAAAATGAAGGTCTTTCCTAAATTGACAATAACAGTGTTCAGAATGTGTGTGTTCAAACAAACCCAGGGACATGGGAACAACAAGAAATCCAAAATCGATGGTGAGGAAGGTATAGGATGCCTGGTAAGGCTTGATCAAGTTCAGTGTAGCCAAGAGGAATTACTGAGAGCCAAGTAAAGGTTGAACATGATAGTGAGACAGGAGAAAAGTAAAAGGAAATAGAGGAAAGAACTAGGAGGCAAAAGATATTTATAGAGGTATAAATATAGGCATGTATATATATGTAAATATATTAAATAACGATAGGGATATAGGTCTGTGTACATATATTTATATGTTAAGTATCAAGGTCGCAGACAAACATTGACCCTCTATTCAAGCCCTCCCTCATCGCAAGACTACTTAATTCTGATAACCTGGTATTCTGTGATGCTCACCTTCCCGACAATGATCGCTGAAGTCAAAAAGGGTACATAAGCAAATGCAAAGAAAGCTGATGGTGCCCAGCTATTAGAAGATATAGCGTCTGGGGGTCTTAAAGGCTTGAAGTTAAACAAGCGGCCATATAGCAGGGAAGCAACAAAGCCCACATGGAAAAAACACACCAGCCTATGTGATCACAAGGTGTCAACAGGATCAGGTAGCAGGCATCAGAAGAGCTAAAACAAACAATCATTGATGTGAACGAGTGGGGTCGGAGTAGAGACCCAAAGCCCATCTGTAGACAATCGGACATTCCCTTGCATAAGGGTCACAAGGAAGGGATGAGTCAGCCAGGGTACAGTTTAGCACCAAGGAAACACAACATTCCTCTAGTTCTTTAATAATTCTCCTCCCCCCACTGTCATGACCCCAGTTCTACTTTACATACCAGCTAGATCAAAGCATAAACACTGGTATAGATAAGAGCTCTCTCGACACATGGAATTCAGGACAGATAAACCCCTGACGAATAATAGTGGGAATAGCGATACCATGAGGGTAGGGGGAATGTGGGGGGAGGAAGGGGGAACTGATCTCAATGATTGATGTATAAACCACACCACACACACACAAGGGGGACAAACAGAAACGTGGGTGAAGGAATATGGTATAATAGAAGAAAATAACAATTTATCAAGTGGTCATGAGGATGGGAGAGTTAAAGAGGAGCTGATATCAAGGGCTCAGTTAGAAAGAAAATGGTTTGAAAATCCTGATGGCAATATATGTTCAAATGTGCTTGATACAATTGATGTCTGGATTGTTATCAGAGCCCCCAATACAGTGATTTATTAAAAGCAAGAATATGACTGTTTGGTACCCTTCATCTGTCTTGAACAGCTAGAATATAGGTTGTACCATATGAAATTGCTGATATTTGACCATTTCTGGCTTACAAAAATGACAGTTTCATTGGGGTCTCGCTGACGGAAGTGACAGGGCCCATCTATGTTGCTTTGAGACAATCTTTCAGTCATCTGCCAGCGTGACTTACTTCTGTCCAATCTGTTCTAAGCTGTTTCTCAGTATGATTTCTTGATAAAACCAAGTCTTCAATTTAAAAATGGGAAAATTTAATCCCAATAATAAAAATGAAATTTAGGAACTAATTATGATAATTATGTCATTTTTTTTAGGATTACTAAAGAAATAACAGAATTACTAAAAAAATTAGTAAGAATTACTAAAGAAATAATTATTGTATGACCTCATGAACATTATTTACTTATTTTAAATATACATGAGGTTATATACTATTTTTAACTAACTAACTAAAAGACAGATGTATAGAGAACAGAATTTACTAAAATTTATGAGTGGTTACCTTGGGCAGAAGGGAGGGAGAAAGGGGACTTCCAGAGAGTTCATGGGAAAAAAATGGAATTAAAAGATAATGGAATTTTCCCACGAACTTAAAAAAATTCCTGTGGATAGTTTATACTTCTCTTTTAGATACTATAAAAAATGATGTTTTTTTGATAGGTAATTATAGAAGAGTTTGTTCAGTCCCATCCCAATGGCCTTCAGATCATGTATTATAAACTTTTGGATTTTATTCCTCACCATTGCTGTCTTCTCCGAGAAGTCACAGAGGGAGCCATCTCAAGGTAATTTAAACTGCTATGCTTAGAACCTGCCTTCATGTTAATGATTGTACCTATGCGTGAACTCGGCTGGTGATTATGCACTGTCTGGAATGCATCACTGTGGGCCTTCTCACTCAGTTATTAACATGGCCTCTTGTTAACCGCATTCTACAGATGAGGAAGCTGTCAGAGAGGAAGCTAGGATTAAATCCAAACCTATACTTGTTTCTTCTCTATGCTTTTTCCTAAACCAGGTTCGAAGTCAATTGGCTTCCTTCTATTGTTATAATGTCATATGTCTATTAAGATTCAGTTTAATTTCACAAGTTTTATAAATTTTTCTCCTACATAGAAATGGCATAAATGTTTCTATGACTTCACAATTCTGTTTCCCAATTATCTTTCACCATTGCCATTGTTCCAGTCCAGGCCTGTTGTTCAGAGTCACGGGATCTCCTTCCCTATGCTCCTGCTTCCTAACACTCTGGTCCATTCTTTGTACAATCATGTGTATCCAGAATTTTGAGATTCATAGACTTTGCCTTCCTCAGAAATCCTTAGTGGCTTCTTATTGCTTACAGATGAAAATTCAGCTTTTTTAATGTTGCATTTAAGATCTAGCCTCAGTAATACCCCCTGTAAAATTTGCCCTCATTTTGCCCTCCAGAGACAATTTCCTTTGTTCTTCTCAAACCTACGTTGTGCATGTGTGCTCATATGTTTACCTTCATGTTGTTCTTTCTCCTTCCTGCCTTCTTGCCTTCTTTTTGAACTGTCTGTCCACATGAAGCTTCATCTCCATGTAATCCTCGCATTCTGCACTGGGCATGTGTTAGTCTGGGTAGACTAGAGAAACAAATCCAGAGACACTCGTGTGTAAGAGAGAACTTTATTTCAAAGAGCCATTGTACATTAAGAAAATATCTCAGATCAGTCCAATATTACCCCATATGTCAATACTAGTCTATAAATTCTTCTTAAGACTAAAGAAACACATGTAAGACATAGAATGCAGGAAGATCACAGGCCAGTGGGTGGAAAGTCTAGTGGATCCAGTGGCAAAGTAAGCATCTCAGTGCTGGCATGGTTCTCCATATTGCTCCTTCAGCTCCAGGGCTCTAGTGTATATCCATGTGTCTTGTCATCAGGAATACCAAGCAGAGAGTGTGTGTGTGTGTGTCCAGCCTCCAGCAAGCTATTTATCTCCTTAGCACCTCCAAATGAAGTCAGCAAGTTGCAACCTGATTGACAGGCTGAACTCCACCTATTCACTCTTAATAGTCTCAAATTGACAGCAGATTATGTAATTATCACAGAGCATTGCATCTGCGTTCCATCATATGTTGCTTTGACTTCTTTTGAGGACGACTTTTGGTCGTACAATATAATTGCCTCCTGCTCAGACCATAATATCACTCCCACCTCCTTTCGTTGCTACTTCATAACTGTGATTTTGCTACTGTTATAAATCAGGCGAGCCCCATGAAAGGGTTGTTCGACCCCCAAAGGGGTCACAACCCACAGGTTGAGAACCACTGCTCTAGAGTAACAAGTACAAGGGGGGGTTCAAAAATTTTGTGAAAATTTTCTCTTTTTTAGCAGCTATATTGACATGTAGTTAATATATATACTTCAGTAGTGTAAACATATTAAAAGCAGTTGTGCAGTCACCACTACCATCACTTTTAGGACATTTTCTTCTTTCTTGTACTAATTGTTTATAGTTCCCTATTTACCCCCAACCTCCCCTGCTATGCCCCTAAGAAACCATTAATGTAGTTAGTTTTTATAGATACACCTATCCTGGATTTCATATACAGAAAAATGGGGGGGGGACCCCTAAATACAACAACAAACTAACAATAATAAAACAGAGACAAAAGCCTCCATTGAAAAGAAAGAAAAAAATATTAAAAGCTAGAACTAATTTGAAATGGGTCCAAAAGGTGATTAAATGAAAAGGTATTCCATTTTCACCTAACTGCATCTGCCATCTGTCATGATTGACTTTACATTGCTCTTTGTCTGATAAGAAGGCTAGTCACGTCCCTGGACTATGATCAGAGAGGATTCATCGGAGGTGTAATCCAGGTGTGAACCCTGCAAATGGATTTTGGGCTCCCGCTGTCATCTGTAGTCTTTTATAAACTGTGGGTTCTCAATTTAAGGTCTGGTACCATTCCTTCGGATTTTGATTTTATTATGTACAATCCTTGGATCACACAGGCTGGTGTGCTTCTTCTATGTGGACTTAGTTGATGCCTCACTTAGATGGCTGCTTGTTTGAAGACAAGCCTTTACAACCCCCTGATGCTATTCTTTCTGGTATCTGGACACCATCAGGTTTCTTCACCACAGTTGGCTGTAGCACTCCTGTCTTCAGCACTCCTTCTTCTCTTCATGAGGGCAAGTATCAAGCAGGGGCATGTCAAAAGAACTAATTGTTCTTAGAATGGGACTAGAATTAAGTGTGAACCCAAAATCCATTCATGTATCTATGATTTATATATCCCTGGTTCACTTTATAGACAACATTATCATTTTATGTTAAAGAACATTATCAGTCGTCCCCTGGGCATACAATAATTCTATTTATAGTGTTACTAATTTAGCCAATGTTAAAGATTTTTTTTTTAATGGTAAAGAATTTAAAACACTGTTGAGAAAGGGAAATTATACCAATATAGGCCAGCTACAAATTGCAGTATATGAAGTAACTGGATACTATTTACACAAACAAGAGGGGTTGGTAATAGGGCAAACTTGCAGTAACATTCGTTCACAAAGACAGAACCAGGCCATTCCGATTAATCCATATCATGATAAAGCAGGGAAGGTATTAAAATAGTAAATATATGGTTGCCGCAGGCCACCATTCATTGGGCACCTTCAAGGCAAGAGCTCAAACTTCAAGTTCAGGAGAAACTTAAGGGGTCTTCTTTATTTATTTAACTGTCAGAACATAGAATTTACTCTGTATTAAGCACTATTCTAGTATACTATAAATATATAACCTTATAATAGTCCCTCAAGGTAGATATTATTATTAACCCCATTTTAAAGATCATTAAACCAAAATACAAAAGGTTAATTAACTTGCCCAAGACCCATGACTTAAACCCAAGGAATGTGGCACAGTGGTTTACATGTTGGGCTGCTAGCAGCGAGGTCAGCAGTCTGAGACCACCCCTTGCTCTGTGGGAGAAAGATGATGCTTCCTACCTCTGGAAAGAGTTACAGTCTAGGAAATCTACAGGGGCATTTTCACCCTGCCCTGTAGGGTTGCCGTTTTTAATCTCTGTGCCACATATGATTAATAAATCAAGTTTCTTAATTAGAAATCTAAAATCCAGTGCTTAAAAAAAACACATTAGCACACACATTAATTAATCTGTCAAGCATTTTGAATCAGTGTGATTAAGATTTTACATGAAACAGAATTTTAGAAATGGTGATTTTAGAGATAGCTAAACAATTACAAAGTTTATTGTTGCAAACATAGTTTAAAGTTTAATGGTGTTCAGAGTGAATGCACACATTTTTCTTGTAGTCTACTACTTGTCCTCTAATAGTTGTCATGACTACCTCTTTTCCAAGATAGTATGTGCAAGTGGTAGCATATTTCAGAGACCAAACCTGTATCAAGGTGCTTGTATATAGTACGATCTTAGATACCAGCTTGCTCTACGAGGTGGTAAGTACAAAAAGCAGGGCTCATGAAATCTCTCCAGTTTGAGATGAGACTGAGATCAAGCAATGATAAAGAAATTTGGGTCTGGAAATAAAATAATTGAAAAAACACTTTTTTTAAAGGTTAAAATAAGCTTCAAGATGAAGAACTTAGAAGTACCACAAAGAAAACTTGTTTGTTGTAAATAGAAGATTAGGGAATATTTGACTGCAATTCTGTTCTTCTCTTCAAGTGAAAATGGCAATACCGTTCCTGGATATGACTTTCTAGTGAATTCTGTCTGGCCAGAAATAGTAAAAGGATTAGAAGAAAAATTGCCCTCACTTTTTAATCCTGGGGATCCTGATGCATTTCATGAGGTAACTTCTCCCTATTATGTTCTTTAAATTTTTAGCCTAAGATGTTAGAATAATCTTATTCTTTACATCATGATCATAGGCCTATGATTTATTAAAAATAAAAGTATAAGTTGCTCTATTGTTTTATCTATTCTAATGTCCTTAGAAATAGTTTTAACTTTACAATGTATGTTATAATTCCTTCTATATAGTATCTTTTTAAGCAAGTTTGGATATAATGTACATATCTTGTTAAAGTTGTATCTAGAATCAGTAGTTTCCCTTGAAAAATTAGTGTGTGTATCTTTACAATTAAGTAGTTTTGTAAAATTATATCATTTTGAAGGAAAGCATAAAAAGTGTTGACTAATGGTTTTAAATATAAACATCTGTTATCATTTAAAAGATTAGGACAGCCTTGAGAAGAATAGGAATTTCAAAACACTTGATTGTGCTCATGTGGAGCCTGTACATGGATCGAAAGGCAGTTGTGCAAACAGAACAAGGAAATACTGCGTGGTTTTAAGTCAGGAAAAGTGTCTCACTGTATGCCGAGTAAATTATCAGAGAAATTTCATGATATGAAGAACTCAGCTTAGGACTGGAAAAAAGCTGTAGTGTGTAGATGATACAACCTTGCTTGTGTCATCTACAGAACAGGGTAGATAGAATCCAGGAGAACTTGAAGTGCTGGTTGATGAAGATCAGGTTTGCAGCCGTCAATATGAATTACAACTTAATATAAAGAAGACCAAAATACTCAAAGCTGAACCCATAGGTAACATCATTATAGACAAAGAAAAGATTAAAGTTGTCAAGGATTCATGTTGCTTGCATCCATAGTCAGTGTTCATGGAAGCAGCAGTCAACCAACACACTGCATTGGGTAAATCTGATACACAAGACCTCTTTAAAGTGCTGAAAGCATGGATGTTACTTTGAAGACTAAGGCTCACCTCACCCAAGCCCTGGTATTTTCAGTCACTTCACATGCATCTGAAAGTTGGACATTGAATAGGTAAGTCTGTCGAAGAATTGATGCATTAGAACTATAGTAGCAGAGAAAAATATTCAAAGTACCATGGACTGCCAAAAGAACAAACAAATCTGTCTTGGAAGAAGTGCAGTCACATTGCTCCTTAGAAGCAACGACAGCAAGACTTTGTCTTACTTGCTTTGGATATGTTAGCAAGAGAGACTAATCCCTGGAAAAGGACATCGTGCTTGGGAAACTAGGAGGGCAGCAAGATGGATTGACATAATGGCGGCAACAAAGGCACAAACATGACAGGAATTGGGAGGATGGCACCAGGAATGGCAGTGTGTCCTGTTCTACAGAGGGTCACTGTGAGTCTGAAGTGACTCTACTGTACCTAACAACCATAGTGTGTACTTTTTTTTTCAATTCATGGAATAATTTTAAAGATTTTAGGTTAATATTTTAAAAGTAAAGTCTTGTGTGTGTTCTGTGGCATACAGAGCATTGTTTACCATAAGAATTTGAGAGCCAGATGCCCTGAATTCCAGCCCCAGTTCTCCTGCTCACTCCCTGTGTGGCTCAACCTTCCCAGTGTTCCTCTTCCTTCTGTTTCCTTAGGTTTTTGTTTAGTTGTTTATTCTAATATGAAAGCTGTTGCCTTTTAATTAGACAGTTTGTTAAACATACAGTGATTTAACTACTACCCAGATCATTTCTACTCTCTTATTTTGTTCTTCCAGGTTTTCTTCCTCTGTTCTTTCCTGCTTTTCTTCCTTTCTTCCTTTTTCACTATTTTTTTTAACTTTGGGAAACTTGTTTTCCTCCCTTATTCTGTTTTCACATCTACTAATTTAGAAGTTATGCCTTCTATTTTTGTTTTTATAATATCTTAGAGAGTGTTTAATGGATTATAAAATTAATCTACCATATTTACTCACATGAAGCTGTGTTTTTCAGCATATTTTTTATGCAGTTTTTAGGGTAAAATTAGGTACCTCGGCTGATATTTGGGTCAGCTTATACTCGAGTATATACGGTATGTTCTTTAGGCTTCTCCTGAATAATACAAAGAATTTAGAATACTTTCAGGCTACTTACTCCATTTCATAGTATAAGTTATAATTTCCAGAGCCTTATTTCTATTTTATTTCAAAAAGTAGGCATTTTTATGATCTTTTGTAGTCATCGTCTTCTTAGAATTGCCTCACATGTTTATAATTTCCTTTGCTTACTGTTCTTTCATGCCAGTCATACATCCTTCATGAATTTTTTTCTTTCTTCTTAGCATTCATCTGTCAGAAGACTCTGGTAAGGCCTTGTTGATAATAAACTTTTTTAAAATAAAAACTCTGTTTGTCTTTGTCTAAAAATAACTATATTGCTTTTCTGTTTGGCTGAATATAGAATTCTCATGCTTTAAGCCTTGAGAAATTAGTTATTGATCTCACTTTTTTTCACTTATATCAAATGTGTCCTTTCTCTTGCTACTTTAAGATCACTGTGACTTTGGTATGCTGAGGGTCACTATGATGCATTTAGTGTTGATTTCTTTATATTTGTTGTACTTGGAATTTGTTAGGTTTCCTCAACCTATTGCTTGATATTTTTTATCAATTCTAGAATATTTTTACCTATTATCTCTTGAATTGTACTTTGCTTTCTTACTTCTTTAGCTCCATTTTGAATCCTTGATTAGAATTTCTCACCATATCCTCTGTTTTGTTTTTCTTTTCAGATAAATGCTTTTATTTTTCCTCTCAAAAATTATGAGTACCTTCTCTGGGTGTCTACAGTGCCTTTAAAACTTATCCAGTAAAGAATAAAATTGACTTCAACTCTGGTCTACTTTTACTATCATTTCCTAAATCCTCAATTAGTCTTTTTATGTTTCTTCCCTGATTTTAGGTTTTAGTTCTAGTTTTATACAAGCACAAAATGCTGCTGTTTTTATCTGTTTGACTCTGTGCTGCATTCTAAGTAATTTTATCTGGATATATCTTCTAGTTCACTAACTCTTTTAATTGTGTCTAAACTCCCTTTTTCATGTGTATATTGGGTTTCCAGTTTTAGTTACAATTTTCACATCAAGAATTTCTATTTACTTTCTTTTCCTAATCTACTTGATCAATTTACATGTCTAATTTTTTAAAGGATAGAGGGGTACAAAGCAGGTATAGAGCAGCACAGGACCTGATTGACTTAATATGACAACAAATTTGGAGCATTGTTGGTCAAGAACTACTTCTTAGCTTTTTCTTGGATAATTTCCCTGTGCTGCAATACATTGAGCAATGTGATTACTTGTGTTGTTTTTGATGAATTGTATAACAATTTTTGTGACTGTATAAAATAGAGGTTTTAAAGTAAGACAACAAAAGCCGAATAAAGTAATGGTTTTAAGCTGTAGCAATATTAAGATACTTTGTATTTTGCTCTAGAAGCAATCACTTTTCTATGCCATTAAGTTTGCAAGACATCTGCCTGTCCAGCTGACTGGAAGAGATCCATATCTGTACCCAATTGAATCTGAAGCTTATATAACAATAGCATCAATATCACATACAAGTAAAATTTTGCTGAACATTATCCAACAATAACTGCAGCAGTATAGTGATAGGGAGCTCAGATTCCAAAGAAGATATGGAAGAAAGTATATCATTGTGCCAAATGGACCTTGGCTGAAAACAGAGAATGCAAGAAAGATGTTTTCTTGAATATGCAAAGGCATTTGACTTTGTGAGATCATAACAAATTATGAATAGCCTTGAGAATGGGAATTCCAAAATATTTAATTGTGCTCCTATGGAACCCATACATGGATCAAGAGGCATTTGTGTGAACAGAACAAAGGAATACTGCATGGTTTAAAAGCAGAAAAGTTGTGCATCAGTGTTGTATTCTGTCACCATACTTCTTCACTCTGTATGCTAAGCAAATCATCAGAGAAGCTGGATTAGATGAAGAAGAATGTGGCATTGGGATTATATTAACAACCTGCAATATGCAGGTGACACAACCTTTCTTGCTGAAAGTGAGGAGGACTTCAAGCACTTGCTGATGAAGGTCAAGGACTACAACCTGTAGTATGGATTACAGATAATTGTAAAGAAAACCAAAATTCTCACAACCGGACCAGTAGATAACATCATGATAAAGATTGAAGCTATCAAGGATTTCATCTTCCTTGGGCCCATAATCAATTCCCATGGAAGCAGCAGTCAAGAGATCAAAAAGCACATTGCAATGGGTAAATCTGCTGCACAAGACCTCTTTAAAGTGTTGAAAAGCAGGGATGTTACTTTGAAAACTAAGGCTCACCTTACCTAATCCTTGGTATTTTTAGTCACCTCATAGGCATGTGAAAGTTGGAGATTGAATAAGGAAGACCAGAAAAGAATTGATGCATTTGAATTATGGTGCTGGAGAAGAATATTGAAAGAGCCACAGACTGCCAAAAGAACAAACAAATCTGTCTTGAGAGAAGTGCAAACCACAGTGCTCCTTAGAGGCAAGGATGGTGAGACTTCGTCTCACGTACTTTGGATATGTTAGCAGGAGAGACCAGTCCCTGGATAAGGACATCATGCTTGGTAAAGTGGAGGGGCAGCTGAAAAGAGAAAGACCGTTAAGATAGATTGACACAGTGGCAGCAACAATGAGCTCAAGCATAAGAACAATTGTGAAGGTGGCAGTGTTTTGTTCTGTTGTCCACAGTCACTGTGAGTCAGAACTGACTCATTGACGTCTAACAACTGCATGTCATCATCGGAACCATATTAGGGTCCGGAAATATTTCAGCTCAGATAGGAAACTTTCTGGTATAATTTTGTCTTTAGAATTCTTTGACCAATATTTAGGGTTTGTACATTAGATATGTATTATGTTTGTACAGTTGCAGACAGGTAACTATCAATCTTTCAAGAAATACTTTGAGCTTTAAACCTTAAGCCAGCATGTTTCTTGTGAATGAGAAAGATCCTTGCATTGATTTCTTGTTGCCTCAGATTTGATTTCAACTCATAGTGACTTATGTGACAGCATA